GCACATTCTTGTACCAAATAGTCCTGCTATTTTAGATGAGGCCAACATTACCTCAGGTTTCCTCATGAAGTCCAAAAGTTTTCACCATTAACTCCATAAATTTTCCTTACGAAGAAGTGATTACCCATTACTCATAATTTATTATTCACCTGACAAAACCAAGCAAATCACAAGCAAAAACACAACCAAAAAAAAAAGCTCCAAACAAAAAAACAACCCAAATTGTAATTCAGGCAGAAGTAATGGACTATAGAAACAACACTAGAACAGAGAAAGGGAAAGCTTTTGAGAGCACAAAGGGCAACTCAGTGTTGAAAGTCAGTGACAGTGGAGCTCCTCTTTTGTATCTAATCCTATCCTTACACCATCAACTGCAAATAGAGCACTTCTAAAAACAGCTGATAGCATAATTTGCCTACAGAAATAGCAAACACATTTAGCAGTTATGTCTATATGTATTTATCTGCATGTGTATATGCAAACAAAAGCAATTAAAGGGAAAAGACTGGTTTACTGGATAATTTGTTTGCAATAAATGATCTCACTAACTCTTTGAAAGTTATTAAATCGATTCTAAATTATGTACTGATAAAATATTCAATGCACACACATGCTTTCCCTGTGTTTACACAGTACTCAGTATGCAGGGATCCCGATGCAGGACTAACAGCTTTTACCAAAGCAGGACTAACAACTTTTACTTTTGTCATTTTTTTCCTTTGCTCTCTTCTTAAGAATAGACTTACTTCTAAAAATCTTAATGCAACTGTCACTACACTCTGGAATTAGCATTAAGAAAATCTTTCTGTACAGTCAGAAGGAATATTTCTTGGCATAATATGTTTCCAGCATAATTTTCACGAAAGGAACCAAACCTTTGTTCAGTGGAAATGCTGGGAATGATTCCAAGAAAAGAATAATAAAAATCTATACAATGGCAAATTATACCAGTGGGACCACAGGGTTATAATGGACAAATGGTAAGTTGAAGACAACACCAGTAGATCAGGTACGGCAAACCTGAAAGCCTTCTTCCCCTGGAAATGGGAAAATCCTGCATCAAGCAAATTGTTTTTAATATCCGTATAAACACACCTTCTTAAAATCAAATTCCAGATACCAATGATCTCTGTTTACTTTAACTACATAGTTAATATTTCAAGGTTCTCTGACTTAACAGGTATCATCTGGGCATCTAATTGTCAGCTTGTGACTACACTAGAGCTATAGAGACTATGTGGTACCTGGAATTTCTATGGATGTCACAAGAGCAAGACAGAGCTACACTGCTGCTGCCAGACCTAACACACACTGATTTATCAGCACATGCTCAAAATCATAGAACAGTTAGGGTTGGAAAGGACCTTAAGATCATCCAGCTCTAACCCCCTCTGCCATGGGCAGGAACACCTCACACTAGACTGTCACCCAAGGCTCTGTCCAACCTGGCCTTGAACACTGCCAGGGATGGAGCATTTACCACTTCTTTGGGCAACCTGTTCAGTGCCTCAGCACCCTCACAGTAAAGAGCTTCTTCCTTATATCTAATCTGAACTTCCCCTGTTGAAGTTTAAAACCTTACCCATTGTCCTGTCAGTAGAGACCCTTCTCCAGCATCCTTATAGGTTCTGTTCAGATACTGGAAGGCTGCTATGAGGTCTCCACACAGCCTTCTCTTCTCCAGGCTGAACAGCCCCAACTTTCTTAGCCTATCTTCATATGGCAGGTGCTTCAGCCCCCTTAAGAGCACTTGAAATTATGGAACTAAAATTTGGCCCTGTTAAAGTGTTAAAATATGGAATCAGCAAATCAAGTCTACTGTACCTTTAAAAGGTCTGGGATTTCTAAAATACAAATGCAGCTTTCAAAGACCTACAATCTTGATCCTTCCACTGTTAAGGTGAAATGCTATGTTCCATACACACAAGAATCAAGATGCTTAAGTTTCTCATTTAAAAAAAATTAATAAATTTCACACATCTCTGGGCAGCACAAACTCCAAAACTGTACCTTACCAGGGGACTCTATGGTCAAAATGTATACAATATTTCAATTGGATTGATTGAGAAAGATTCTAGGTTTATTTTCCCTATATTATCCAAGTAGAAGGTCATTTAAAAATCCTGTAGAGTGATCATTTTGAATGATTTTGTTATGAGAAATTGATTTACAGGCTTACGCACTTTGCAGAAATGACAAATCTCTAAAGACTTTTTGAGCAGTGAATAATGAACTTGTTCAGGAAATTAAATCAGAGTGTTGATAAAGCTGACAAAGGCAAGGGGTGGTCTTATCTCTGCACTGAGGTCGAATGATTTCTCGTTGGAAGCAGCAACAAAGCCGAAACACTCACTTTCTAACACAGGACAGTGCAACCGTTTCTTGTGCAGGAGCACAGCTCTGTTTTAATGTCCTAAGCAGGAATTCTTGAGAATGAAAACCAGGGGACCCTGATTAAAATTTGGCAATACAAATAAGAGGATTATTTCTCCCCCACATTGAAAAAGAATGATGTTTGAGATTTAAAGAGTGACAATTCTCTTAATATTTTAAAACAATCCCAGATCCAAGTGTTTAGTTTTTGAAACACAACTTCTTGTCTTTACAATATTTAGATATAGGGTCTTTAATGCTAAAAACTATCATTTGGGAATGCTATTTTTCATTTCATCCTAATATTTCCTTCATTAAATCCTCTGCACCAATGCAAAGCAAATAAATAGAACACTTTAGGGAATTCAGGGGTCATAATATGAACTAAATCCATGACATTGGCTTAAGCTTGGTAATAAGCAAAAATCTGAACAGCTTTGATTGTCCAGAGGTGTTATCCTAAATCAAAATCAGCAGACAGCATGACCACGGTGAACATCTGCCTATACATATATTTATACTTCTCTAAATATTCTGCTCTTTCTATTTCCTCCCTTTAAAGGTCAGCTGTTTGGTGTGATACTCTCTATCCATTTTGCCCCCAGTATCATTATGCTTTATAAATTCCATGATTTTCTAGAATACATGAATTTGTAGCTTCACTTTTGTCCCAGAGGCAGCTACATTTTGATGAATGAGATCTCAGACTAGATAGGTAAACAGAAAAAGGGTGAAGGATGTAAGCTTGCAATGTATAATTTATTATAAGCGCCACAAAATACCAGTGCTGAGAGAAAACAAATTATTGGCCTCTCATGCAATGACCGTGAGAAGGTGATAAATATTTCATAATATAGTGCTCATCAGACATTTGAATAGCTCATCTGTCCTATTTATGCCAGCTAAAATGAATTCAACCTATCAGTGGCAAATGTATTTTTAATGTTTCTCTTTACCTTCTGTGAAAGAGGCAGCTAAAAAGTCCATCTTCCACAAGAATTATATTATTCATTTCATTACATACTGTAAACAGTTTATTTGCGAATAAGCTTTTTCCGTTAAAACCAGCTCTGTATATCTTAAGGAAATTTCACATCCAATTATTATTCCAGTTACTAGGAAGCAGAAATTGTCACGGTTGTTTTCCAATATTTGGTATTTTGACAGGAAAACACATACTCATATTGTATTTCAGAAACATTTGGAGACATCCACGGGTGCCACTTCCTTTGGAAAAGGAAAACCTAACAGAATAACACCATTTAAGCTCTTAAATGTCTCCTTAAATGGAAAAACTGTACCATGTTTTTGTGCAGCAGGGCATCCGTTCTTGTACAAAACATTTCAAGTTGTCACATCTGTATAACATAATCTAAGATGTGCCAATTAAACAGTCAATAAATAAGAACAATCTGTGATGTGGGGGTACCTCAACATCATAGGATTCAGGTGGCATCACGATAAATAATAATCCGATTGACAACACCACAAGATTCACATAAACTCTGAACAGTTCTTTACTATATGGCCATATAGTCAGCAGTCAGTTGATTTGAATTTTATACTGTCTACTACTACTTCTTAGAAACTCTATCTTGAAAATATGTCCTGCAAAAAGCCATGCCTTTGAGGAAGGTTCTAAGTGAAACCAATGAAAATGGCTAGAGGATGCTACTGGGAATCTACAAATAAGACTGAAAGTCAATATATAAAACTTTTGACATAAAATTTGGCTCTAAGAGCATACAAGAAATGGCAACCTCTGGATATGCAACTTTGTTACTGGTTTAGAAAACAAACAATTCATACAGGAAAGAGCTCATAACTCGAAGTGTCCCTTTGTAACAAATACAAGCTTAAAAATCAGCAATTGTCTAAAGAGAAAAAGGCTTCAGCCAGTTGAATTTGTACCTGATAACTATCAACACTGTATACATTTGTTTTCCAACTGAGAACTTTCAAAGATACTCAGAAACTCCAATGAAGTTATAAGAGTCTACTACAACTAACTCATAAGAATAAGCAATTGGAAACCATCCATTACCAATCCTCAGTTAACCTCTTTGGAATACGACAAATATTGTAAACATTCACTTTATGTTGTTCTTGCTATTCCTGACTCTGTGTATTACCAATTTAAGGCCCTATCATAACCCAAAACCTAAGATCAAGAAATTTAAAATTCCTGGTGCTAGATGTTACTTTGCTTTCCAAACATTCTCTCTTCTAGCAGTCATCCAGTCTGTTAGTTCTACTGCTCCTAATCCTAAATGTTACTCTAGCTTTAACATGGACTTGAGATGCTACTGTCAACCAGAAATCAAGACTTACAGAATTCAAAAGATGCCAACTCTCAATTCACCCGTCTGTAACTTCCTGAATACCATGATTCATTCAGGATCAGAAGCTACAGAGTTGGTTTCTAACCTAAATTTTTCTGAAATATAGGAAGCAGCCAAAAGAAAGCCAGACTTATGCTTACATATTTTTAAGCATACTTTGTTGAATACTGCAGTTGTTCTGACAAATAGCCTCTACTTTTCCTAACCCTGTCGTTGTGGCCTTAACATTAAGCTTTAGTCTCACTACAATCTAGCAAGTTTAATAAGGAATTCAAAGCCACTTACCTCTCTAGAACTTTGCTAATACTGCCTGCACTGAGCTTCCATAGATAGAGTTCTTCTCCTGGCTTCATCCCTAGAGACAGAATAGACAGGGAAACATGAAGAATTTAGAGTCCTGAAAATACAGCTACCAACAGCTATTTAAAGGTTATCTTTGGGGTTCAGAAACAGAGAATTCCTTTCATTTCTATACATCATTGATATTGTTTGACTTGCCTTGCTTATAATCATTATTCTGTTGCCATGATGCATATCAGGCTCACAAGAGTGAACAGGTTCACTGACTCTACACCGACAACAACAAAGAACACAGATGGTCACTGCTATTATTTCCACTCCGTGTGTCCTTGTACACTTGATGGGGTCTGGAAAATGGCTGTGTTACTCCACCCATGCAATACTGACCATCGCAAAAGCTGTTGGAGCAGTAATAACAAGACTGAGTTTCAAAAATTCCTGCCTCCCAGTGACAAAAACATACGCATTCTTACATCAGACACAGAAGGTCCTATCAAGGATACTGAAAATAAAAAATTGGGAAAATATGCTTTGATAACACCTGTGTAGATTAAGCAAACTGAGAGTCAACAGTAATAGAGGCTGTTGATAGGGGCTCAGTCCTCTAGTCCTCATTGGAATAAGACCACCATTGAGACCATCAGTAGGTTAGCATGAAAAAACCCAATTGTACCAAGAATCATCAGCTGCTAAATGAGCTGATTCATCAAAATACAGCAGAGAATACTTGATCTTTTCATGCTCCCCATGTCCCAGCGAAACATCCTATCTCTCTGAGACTTTTCAAAGGCATTTTGTCTTAGCTATATCTGGAAGTAGATTGCTCTGGTAGAGGCAGAGTGTTTTGGACACTAGGACACAAATATGTCTATCAACCCTGAAGGATAAGGTTAGTAAATAATTACTGACAACTAAGCAACTTTGAGTAGTCAAAATATTCTTGTGGGTAGCTAAATATTTAATTATCAGAACAGCTTAATTTTAAAACCTGGTTTTGATAAAATGTAAATATTTTGCCTTAGCATTTTACGTCTGAACAATGTTTCTGCTCCTCTGCATTTTCCAGTGATGCTTAACACTAGCACCGTTTCCTCTTCTGTGCTGTATTTTGTGGATGAAAGCACAGGTGCTTCAGCTTTCAGTGAAGCTTGTATTAACCTCGATGCCAGTAAAATCAATGATCAAAGCTTAGTTTAGAAGTTCTCTTCAAACACTTGAGACTGAGTTTCCATGTGCTTTCTGCCTAAATAAAACAATTTTCATGACTGTCCTGGGTTCAGCTGTAGAAGTTATTTTTCTCCTTCCTAGTAGCTGGTGCAGTGCTGTGTTTCAGCTTTATCTGAGAAAAATACTGATAACACACTGATGTTTTAGCTGTTGCTGAGTAGCACTTACTCTGATCAGGGACTTTTCAGTCTCATGTTCTGCTAGTGAGGAGGGGCACAAGAAGCCAGGATGCAGCAGAGACAGGACATCAGACCGAAACTAACCAAAGAGGTATTCCATACCACAGTACGTCATGCCCAGTACATAAACTGGAGGCAGTCACCCGGAGGAGCCAGACCACTGCTAAGGTCGGGCATTAGTCAGTGGGTGTAGAGCAACTATATTCTGTATCACTTGTGTTTATTGGTTTGGTTTTCTCTCCTTTCCCTTTTTAGCTTTATATATCTCACCTTGTTATTTCCTTTATCATTATTAGTATTAGTCATAGTTTTATATTATGCTCTCCTGGACTGTTCTTATCTCAACCCATGGTGTTTACACACTTCCATCCCACCCAGAGTGGAACAAAAGGGGGAAGTGAGTGAACAGCTTCATGGTTCTTAGTTACCAGCTGGGCTTAAACCACAACAATGACAGGGTTTTGGTAAACACATAATCTCACTTCTGAAGAGCTGTACTAGCTGGATCTTATAACACACTAGCTTTCCAAGAGCCCTTGTTCCATCTTAACCTTGTTGCAATACGTCTGTTAACAGTTCTGCAGGTGCCTTCATATTTAAGGAATCTAATGAAGGTTTCAATATTAAGTTATATCAAGATTGGACTAACAGTCTATCTTCAATCTATTCAGTTTTGTTGATTCTTGTTTCTAATTGACAACAGACGAAAGAAGGAAAGGCAGTTAGAGGGTTTTTTTTTCAATATATAAAACAGACTTTGTGTCCACTATTTGCAGAAGAATTTATGATGGACAAAAGTGGTTTTGAAAGTTATTTTCCTTAAAAAAGCAATTTTTCTTCTGATGCCCCGCTTGTTTTTCATTTATTAGCAAGTGATTTATGAACAAAAGTAGTTAAATATTAGAAGTATCTATTTTTATAGCTCATCTTTACTCAACAATTCCAGATATGCTTTTGCTTTATTATGAATTCTGAACTCTGTATTCAGTAATTACTCTTTAAAGCAACCTAAATGCATACTGCATTATTTGTGAATTAGAGAGCAATTTATGAATCTCAGAAAATTACTTTTCTTCTAGAAGCCATTTTACAGTCTATCCATTTTCTTTTATCTGCAATTGCCTCTTATGTCATCTATCCATTTTCTTTTTTCTGCGATTGCCTCTTATGTCACATGAGCCTTAAGAGATATTTCATACAGATGTGAATTGCATTATTACAGGAATGAAATATCCAGCTTTGATTTTATCCAGAAGGAAAATTAAGTCTCTACAAATGCTAGACAATAACTAAGATACAAGACAGGACCTTATATAGGATCACTGTTAGGAATTTTATATATATATATATATATATATATATATACACACACACATACATATAATGAGATGCTGCAGTCACACGAACTTCAATCTGACAATCAGTTCTAAGTTCCCACTTCAGTATGAAGCAGAATTGCCCCTGAATCCTTCTAAAATGGCTTTCAGGAATTTCCACACCAAGAGATACTTTTCCTATGAATTAAAAGACTTCACCTGACCCTAAAGAATTGTTCCAGTTGGATTTTGTGAAAGCTCTTCTTCACATATTGAAATTAAGTAAGCATTAAGGGCTCAGTTCAAGACACACATTTCCACTGGAGACACCTGGTACATAAGATTAAATAAAATTTGACTACAAAAAGAAAACTCACATAATTCAACAAGAAACACTTGGCAAACTACATCATACACACACAGCAGATAAAAAGAAACATATTTTTGCTACACATTTAATGTGCTAATGTGCAGCAAAGTAATTAACACTTGGAGTTGAAATGATTTAGCAGTTCTTTTTCACATGTAACCCAGGTGCCAAAAAGGCCACTTGTGTTTTTATTGCTTTCTCCTACTTTGCTCTAATGAACACTACACACAATGGGAAAGAAAACAAAGGCTGTGATGCTACTCATTAACAAATAAGGTGAATTTTAACATTTCAAGAGTCTGGACCAAAACCTCCGGTAGACAGCTTTATTAACCTGGAAATAAGGTCAACTTCACCTTTTGCCTCCATTTCAAATCTGTAAATTTTATCAACATTTATATAAAAAGTACAAAAAAAAAAAAACCCAGCATGTGCAGAAGGTAACACACTGGATGGAGAAAAATCTTCTACCTAGCTGGGCTTGCGCTAAAAACTAACACACCTATACTTATGCTGGATGCTATATCCTGCCAGAAGCTCTGTCTCATCCACTGGCTGAAAGCTGGTTTTGCACACTTCTTCAACCCTTCCTCTCCATAGGGAGACTCCCCACCTATCCTCTTATGTCAGCTCCCATCTGCTTCCGAGTTCTTCCAGGAGTATGAAGAGCCAGGTCAAAGTGTTTCGGCTCAATTTGATGGCAAGTTTCAGTGTGTGCCAGGTCAGAGATTGGTACGAAATTAATTGGAGTTTCTTCAGTCATGTAAAAATTCCTTTAATACACCGACAAATAACTCTGAATCTAGTTTATTGACAGTGACATTAACAATTCAACTATAAGAAAGAGCTGATAGTAGACATTGAATAAAAGGTTCAACTTCACTCAGTAGTAATGTAAATGACAGGCTGAATTAAGTGATGGTCCAAAGCGTGAAAGCAGATATATCAATGCAACGTCCAGCAGGAAAACAGAATGAAGGCAATTAACACAGAAGGATGGAGATGGGCGAACAGAAAAAGAGCAAAACCTAACTGAAGTAGAATCCCTCTGGATTATAAGAATCTAGGGCATGGCAGCTACATCATGAATGTTATTCTCATCTCAAGCAACTCAGTGAGTAAAGTTTTCACCTATGGATGTACCTGTTTAGTAAGGAGGGTGTGTTTGTTGCTATAAAGGTGCTTCAAAGGCCTTAACACATCCTTCAAGACCGATATGTACAAACTATTCTGAACCCTTTTTAATACATCAAGAATTTGGTTTTGGAAATTTGTAATCATGTTGCAACCACATTTCCCAGTGGAACTGCCCAACCACTCCTGTGTGTGGTTTTGGAGTCAAACCTTTTCACAGGCTCCTCAGTGACATTTAATTGGAAGTCTCGGTGGTACATCTAGCCTCATGCCAGCAAAATGTCTTGAGTAAACAGCAGTAAGCAAACTTCAATGCGTTTATTTACCACACAGTTAATAACTTAGGTGAATTATTTGCACTGGGTCTAATATTTATTTTGGTAGAAAATTTGGTACATATGCTTTACTCTTTTTGCTTCTTATATGTACGTAAATTCTAGAAATATCCATTGACAAATAGCAAAGTTCAGAACCTTTTCCTGAAAATAAACACTGCTCTATTGCTTTTGTATCAAAATGTTACTAAGCATAGAGTTCTCTCAACCAAAAACAGAAGGTTATCTCACTGTTTCCTACTGGCATCCTTCACTTCTTCTAAACAAACAGTAACAGTCTGAAGAGAACATGTACCACTGAATTACTTTATTTACAATAAAATCCAGCAGTGGTACTATAGCAACTACCTTCACCATGATTAACACACGAAACATTTTGAAAGTATGTTATTATTCTTATAAATTACATTTTGCTTGAATTAATTTTTATGCACAGTTCCTAACATATAAAGAGTCTGAATTGCTAATTG